ATATATATATATATATATGCATTTTACACGTCTGAGTTCAGGCTGTGTGCAAAACAAATCGTGGTACAATAATCTTTATAACTGGATTAAAAATTTTTTTTGTGTGCTTCACCGTACACTTTTTGATATTTTTTGTGTTGTTTGTTTTTTGCGGGGCATGGGATTTTGACAGGCAGACCGTACACTATTCGCGCCACTGACTTCTCTTCTGGGTTATATCGTTCGGCGTCTCGAACCAACGACTATCTTCACCGCTTCGATCCCAACCTTGAAGATGGGCTGCACTAACCGTGAGCAGCAAACAAGATCACAGACCAGTGACACTTTTGAAGTCGAGTTAAATGAATGTATTTTACACGCCAAAAAGTGACCAGTCAGCTGTGAGAATCAAGTGAACAGAAAATTAACACACAGCAATTACAAAAGGAAGCATGGATGAAATCACCACAATGGAAACGCGCGGCACGACCGTGCCCAACGTGTTGCCGGTAACAGGGGAGGTAATTAATCTTGCTTACTCAGCCGTCTCAAGCAAAAATGATCACAGAAACTAGCATCATCCGAACCGCACTGCACAGCAAACAACATACCTCACGCAAATCGGTTGTTTCACGGATAAAGAAAAAGTCCAAATTTCCCAAATAGGTCTCAACCTGAGTGCCTGGAACCGTGGAAAGAGGTGTCAACAGGCAACTGTCTGCTATTCGATCGCATTCCAATGGTTGTGACGGAGTGTGTCGTTCACGAGCCGGATTTCGTGGATGAGAGCGAGTTTCATAACCGGGTAAATGCTACCGCGTGAAACAGAAAAAAACCAAAACAAAGTACTAAGCCAGGATATGATAATGTGCGAATCTGCAGCAGTAGGAGCCGCTATCACAAGAGTGAATTACCAGAGGGAAATAGGGAAACTGTCTATGACGATGAGGAGGATGCTGATGACGATAATCATATGCTGATGGTGACAAAAAGCAATTTCACATCAGCCCCCCTCTCGACCCCACTTAGAGACACGCGAGTTGTCACACAACAGCCGAGGAGAGGAAATCAATGAATCACGAGTCGACGACTGCGGCGGACAGAGGTCGAGAAAAGACGAGGGGTGAATGGGGTTGGTAAAAAGACAAAGCACGAGGGTGAGCGCGCAAGCACGCTCTTGATAGTTGCACCCGTTGAAGAGAGAGAGAGGGAGAGCGCGCGAGGCGAGAGCTGTAAGCGTAACATGTGACGACGTAGAGGAAAGAAAATGCGATGTTACAAATTCGATATCGAATAGAAATGTTCTGTGCTATTTTTTGCAGACCTTGAGTGAGTGCATGAGGCATATGATGACGATTATGGTGATGACGGAAAACGAACTGAAATGGATGAGATCAAATCGGAATCTTACTCGAAGAATAATAGAACGCCAATTCTAAAAGAGTCAAGATGCACCGAACATAATTGTAGACTAAATCGGACAACTAATCGACTGGCGGAAAGAGAAAACCAAATCAGCAATGGACATATAAATTAATTTCGATCACAAGGCAATAAATCACTATCACGTACAATGGGAAGCAGAACAAAATCTACTTTTCAGTAAAAACAATGTCTTTCGGTCACAAATTTCAACAGAAAATGAGCAAACATGGATTTGCACGGCACATTTCTTTCAATCTGTAAAACGTGTACGCAGCGACCAGGATGATATTTATATTCACTGGAATACGGGAAACCAAATTGCTAATGATGACGGACCACTCAGAACGAAAGAGGCGGGGGTCAATCACCAAGAAAACGGTAAAGTGACATACCGTTCACGCTTTTGGCATAAGTTCGGTTGATGACTGCGAAACATTGGCTAACTTGAGCAGTTCGCTTTTAGTTTTGTTAAAGATTACCGGGAACAGGTTCGATGGCGTGACAGTGTGTAAGTACTCGACAACACAAACTTCAATTGTATGTCAGGGAGTCGAATCCAGATAAATTAATCTCAAAGAATGATTGTGTTTCACTTTGTGGATCAGATGCGTCTAACCTCAGCAATCTCGACACTATAGCCGCTTTTCAGTGCCTTTATAGTAAGTAGCATACGAATGGCTGGAAATTGGATCCCATTATTCATTTACTACTATAGCGTGATATTATGCTGCATAAGTGACCCTTGTTTACCGTAGCTGGTGGTTCCTATTGTCACTGGTTTCATCTATGCGTTGTTAACAATTGAGTGCCACGAAATGATAACTCTGGGTTGTTGCAAGTTCCGAAGCAAATCACTACGAGGCTGCAAAAAATCTCAATCGTAAATAGTGATGGCGCAGTGGTTTAGTCGCTGTCATCGGCGTGCTTTGGAGCCGATAGTTCGAGCCCCGCCACCATCACCTAACTTTGGTGGTAGGCAGTTTTACTGTCGTCCGGATTCAATACTAAGCCTAATCTAGCGGGGCCTTATGTAGTTCACCCACTTCAGCTCCCAGGGCTTGAGTTACCGATTTCAATCACTGAACAGCAGGTCCTCGTGACTATAGGGTTTACCCCATCTATTGTCTATCACACCAAGGTGTGTAGTAAAAAATTAAAAAAGTTGGCTCAAATCAAATAGCCGGGGACAAACAGAAAGGACTAACCTTCACGCTCACATCGGGGCCAAACCGGTCGTCTGCAGATGAGCTGTCCGTGTCCCCTGATCGAACGACTTCCGGAGCACGCTTACTGATCGTTTCTGGACAATAAATGCGCAGGGAATTGGTGGATTTTGGTGTTGTCGAACAAACGGGGGCAGGCTTTTGACCTCGGGACTGCGAGGCAGCTTGATCGTTGACCATAATCATTCCGGTAGCAACAATCTGTCAGAGGATGACGTAAAACCGAAGAATCGATAGTATGCTTCCTGTGAAAATACTGTTAAACGATAAAATTTGCCTCTGCGTGACGGAGTGGGTTGGTGGATAAACTGGGAATATGGCGTTGCTGGAAACAGTTAAAAATAAAAATTGTGATTTGAGGGTACCTTGACCTTAGTTTGGGTCGTAATAGTACATACAGACACACACAGTTACTCTCCCCCTCCGAGCTTGCTCAATTTTATAGTAGCTATAATACGCATAGCGGTGAGATACTATAAGGATAGGCATTTTTATGATCCAGAATTAAGGCACGACATACCACTCGAAACGTCTATTGTCACTTAGAGCACTATTAATGTGGTAGTAACACAGAGTACACCGACGACATTGCTTAACTGTTTGAATGCATAGGGGACGCACAAAGCGAACTTGACTGCCCGTCAAGTTTTGTTGCTCCATTCAGCATGTGCTTTGCACCTTCAAGTTGCAAACTGATGCGACAAGATTGGTTATCGACTAGTACAGCTTTGAAATCAGATGAGAAGGAACTGACTGAAGTTGTCTACTTCTTCTACTCAGGCAGCTGCGTGACACATGACGGCAACACAACGAGCAAGACAACCGCTCGCAATTAAAAACCTTAAGCAACGTACGCAAACAGGAAGCACCTCTGGAGTCCAGGTGACGTCTCACTGCCGAAGGTCATGTGCAGTGTGCCACCACCCGATCAATTCGGTGCTATACGGTTTCGGGACCTTGAATCCGTGAGCAGAAAACATCCAAGGGTCGCAGGGAGGGAGAGGCTCCGACAATCAGCGCTTACGTGGTTGGGCACAGTTGAAACGCAGTGAGTGGATTGTTAGCTTAGGGACAAATTAGGTGGGTGTGGGGGGGGGGTCAACAGATGACACGGAGACAAGTCACTAACGATGTTTCTCGTTCTTTAAACGACTCCGTAACTGGTTGGTTGGAGACACTGAAAG